ATCAAGTTTTGGGGTCACAAGTTTGTATTCTTCCCTATCTATCCAAAACACATTTGGATGGAGTTAGGTATTTAATGCTTTGCAAATTGCAGCACCTCAGCATGATACAAATTTACCATCATTTATGCCAATTGCAATTTGACTAGATTTTAGAAAAAATTATCCTTGCGACTAAGAAAAAGCTTTCTAGTATGTGCGCGTCAAGCCATTTTGTGCGCTCACACTTTGCATAATCTTACATTACAATCTGAACATTACTAAAAGCACTATAATAAATCTGTGTAATTATAGAATATTTTTGAATTGCAAATTTCACAAAATTGAGTTTTCATTTTAGTAGTGCAATTTTGTATTAAATTCTTTAAAAAGAGTGTTCTGGGGATGGTTAAGCATGACTAAGTTATGTACATAGAGATTTAAATATAAAATGTTTATAGTGAGGTAGATGAGAGGTTAAAATAGAGGAATAGATTCTGATCTAACAGACAATGCGTGCTACATGAAGGAAATAAATCCTGTTCAACTTAAAATCCCTATTATATCTTTATCTCTTATGCAGGTATCCAATAAAAGCTCCCAGGCCTGGTTGCTATGGGGACAGAAATAACCTGCCCGGTGTTAGGACGTATGGAGAAAGGGATCCACAAGAAACCTATGATGCATATTGTTACACTGAAGAGCCACAAGGTAGATTTTGTTGTGTGTGGGGCAATTTGGCTCAATTTACAGAGGTAACAATCATTAGTTACCATAATATTGTTCACATTTACCAGTGAGAGCCAATGAGGGCTGAAAAATACAGTCACATGGGTGAAAACATCAAGTGAAATGAGAAACAACACAAACATTATAGCTTAGTGATTTCATCGTGTTGTAATGTTCAGCCTTTGCTGCCTGATAGCAAGCTCAGCAATCATGAAACATCTTTACTATCTTTGTATAATTTATTATGAAGTCTTGTGATTTTGTCTTGGCATACTTTCACTCTTATGAATAGCGCAATCACTTTTATTGACTTTGCATTCCCTTTTAGAACCTATCATTATCATTACTGCCAGATGTTCCAATTGATTGTTGGCTTTGGAAAGCTGCACTGAAACAAATTCATTTTATACACTATCTCTATCTTGTAATTTGTAACTTTTTTTTTTTAATTCAACACCCAGGAGATGTTTATTATGTTCCTGAACGAAACAATCTGGAAGGCGCCAGGAAATCTTGTCTACGTGATGGAGCAACATTGGCCACAGTGGGGCAGCTGTATGCAGCATGGAGAAAGGGTTTAGACCAGTGTGACCCAGGTTGGCTAGCAGACAGCAGTGTCCGTTACCCTATTCGGAACCCAAGAAAAAACTGCGGTGGTGAAGAACCAGGAGTTCGGACTTTATATCAACATCCAAACCGCACAGGTTTCCCTAGTCCTAAAAGGAGGTTTGGAGCATACTGCTACAAAGGTAATATTTGTAATATTAAACATCTGTTAAAGTTCTATCATCTGCTGGTCACATATGATGTATTTATAATACAGGCAATGTGTACTCAGCAAATGTGACAGCTGATATATGCCATACACCCAGTAAGCTGCTTCTTTAGCATTACAAACAATTGTTTTATATGTGCCCTTGTGGACTTGTGGACATATGATGGGGGTTTCCCAAATGTGACTCCAAAAGTAGAATAAGATGTAATGGACTTTGAATAGATTTAAGAATATTACACTTTAAAAAAACTTTGTGGGCATATTTTCCTTAAAGTGACCCTGTTAATCATTTGAAAAAATCCAATTAGAGGATCCCTGCAATAGAAGAACATAGCAGTGGTGTAGGAGTTGGAGTATGTGTCATGGAGTACACATTCCTGGATGCTTGATAGTCTGATGGAGGCTGTAGTGCTGGAACAGAGGGAAGGTAGAAGAGATAAGGGGAAGTAGGAGAGTATAATAGGTCTCCTATTGCAGAAAAATAAAAAATTTTAAAGGGCTAAAAGGGTCACTTTAACACTTAAATCACATGTAAGCACCACTACAACCAGTTAACCAAAGAGGAATTGTCACCTACTTTAGGTACACATAAGCCCTCTTGTTTCTGGTATTCCCTCCTTTGCACCAGAAGTGCCAACTGATGTTTGTCAGCATCAATTCTTTGGCAGGGAGGCTGTTTGGTTTCCCCATTGCAAGCTAATGTTCCCTTGTGATAGGAATACCTGGTGGGTAATAAAGGGGTAAAGGCTGAATACATTTTATTTCACTAAAATGGCAAGGTATAAAAAAAAAAAGGTAAAATGAAACCTTCTCAGGACTGAAACGTTTCAGCACTGTGGACAGCTCCGGTCAGCATATTCACTACTGCACATTTGCTTAAGAAAATTATTGAATGGAGCTAATTTACTAAAGGAGTTGAGACTCTTGATCAGTGAAATGATTGAATGGTATTCGAAGTGAACAGGAATTTGCTTTTAACATGATTGCAGAAGTAAAGTGAATATGCACTCAATATATTAAATGAAGATTATGAACTCCTTTAGTGTATCAGCCACACTCACTATGGTCAATGTTTTATTAAAAAGTGTCCAACAAAGTTTAGCCAATCTAACAATTACCCAATTATAAATAGCTTGAATGTTACAATAACCATCTGTTTTCACGGAAGGATAAATGTCGTCAAATGCGGGTGAATGTTTTTCACTTTCTGAATATGTCAGCAAATGTGGTTTATAAGTAGGGCAAATGTTACTCATCAGAAATCCAGCACATTTGCCAGCAAATCAATTTAATAAACTCCATGGTTGATATTCATGTCATTGTATGGCACTGACATTTGAAAATGTTTTTAAAAAGCACTTTTTTCATACTTTAATTTCTTTGTATAAATCATTTTTGTTGCATGAACATATACCATCTAAAAACATTACCAAAGGTAGTTTAGGAAAAGGCCAACTGATCCATGGTGCTGATCTGTGAATACGTGGGGACCTATCAATGGATTCAGCTCAGTCATCTCTCTAAACCTCTGCTCTTCATAATCAAGAGATCTCCCCTCACCTACTGTCTTGCTCACAACAGTTTCACCAGAAAGGAAGTGAAAAAAAATATGCAACAGGGACACAGATTTATATTATTTTTATTAATAAAGTAGGAAAAGACTAGAAGTCCCTTAGACTTTGTGTTACTGTTGCAAATATCACATCACGTCCTGTCTGTTGAAGCCATTGTTACAGTGAGGGGTAAATCTCTCACTGTAGTGAGGGTTTACAGTGAGGGGTAAATCTCTCCTTTCCAGTAATAAACAAAAAAGTTGCACACTACACCACTGTTAAATATCTACAGGCAGCTATATTTGTTCACCGTATACTAAGTAGTCTTATAATAATTATGCATTGTCTATGCTGACTGGAAGCAATACACAAGGTGACTTTTCTGTAATTGATCTTATCCCATTTGATGTTCAGCACTGATAACAAATGCACTGTCAGACATACAGATAATTACTAAATAAAGAATCTGGCAATCTGTACAAAAAAAATAATAACTGAAATAAAGCATGGCAAGTAAATGTTCATGCAGCATGTCAATTGTGAGGCAGTGGCTTATCGTTGTCAGCCTGCAACAAAAAGTGCCGTTATTGGCAGGATCTTAAGGTAAGAAACTTTGCAACAGAATCACAAAAACATATTTGCTTAAGAAAACTATACAGTGAGACATGATGCCAGACATACTGAAAATATATTTTTGGTTTATATACACTTTAAACCCTTTATTCAGTAAGTGTTAAATCAATAGTTATACAAAATGTAGATCCTGAGTGTAATGCTTGGTTACTTCAGTATGTTACAAGGCCAGGAAACTTTGAGTACATTAACCCATAACAACCAATCGTACTTCAGTCTGCTGAAGCCAGATCAGGGCAAGATGGGTCTTAATTGGCTGATGTACTCAAAGTGGAAACTGAACTGTAGAAGCTGTGCCCAAAAAAAAGACAGGCAGAGGTTTTTTCCAACCTTTTTATTATTATTTTTATAATTTCTTTTACTTTACTTTACTGTTAGGGGCTTTAGGGAAAAATCAGGAGTCTAAACAGACCCCTGATATTTCTCTTTTAAAATATACAAAGAGATTAAGGACACAGAGTCCTCAATCTAATTATTTGCAGCTCCTCAGGAGTCTGACAGCTGATATGAACATGCATGTCCAAGTATTGGAGAAAGGATGATGATGATAGCCCTAAACATGCATCTTTAGGTGGAGGAAGCCTCTATACTAAGTGCTCCTATACATTACATCATGAATGAACAGGAACTGATGTAGAGCACTTCCTGTTCATTCATAACTGGGGACACAGTAAGCATACTATGACCTCAGTTATTTACCAGCACTCAGCGATCAGTTCTGATCACTGAGTGCTTGTAACCCGCTCTCTATCTTGACTCCTCCGCCTGTCACAGGAGGCTGAGGGTGGCGGTGTGGGCGGAGAGCTCAGCCTCCTGTGACAGCTGACAGCTGTCTCTTCACTGTACCACACCGCTCGGCATCCTGTCAGCTTCTCTCCTCCCCGCTGGATGCGTCTCTTTACCTTTGAATTCCTGCTACGTCTGCCGACACAGGCAGGGGAGAGCAGCGGGCATCAGAGGGGACACAGACCATCATCCAGTGGGGAGGAGAGAAGCTGCAGATGCACCGCATTTTTGGCCATTATGGTATTATCGGCATTTTGCCCATAGTACCATTTTTGGCCGAAATGTTTCGGCCACCGAAATTTCAGTGCACTCCTACTTAATATCTTCCCTCTAAATGAAGATAATACAGTCAACATTTGGTAAAGCTAATCCTGAATTTATATACAAAAGTAGAAGTCTTTGCAAATCTTGGTTGAAGCAGGGCTTTGCTTCCTCTCACTCTAAATCTGAGACCAACTGTCAAAGGTAGCAGTGCCTTACATTGCACACTGCAGACATACAACTATTAAACTGTGGACACAGGAGCACTTAGGCGCACTCACATACCAGGTAGTTCACTGTTTTTTAGAAAAAATCCAGACAAAGGTACAACTTTAACGGTACTTCTTAGGCACAATTTACATTTCTAGATGTTTCCTATAACATAGCAAATCTTCACTTTTGGAGTTCAGGTCCAATTTAAAAACTTTTAAGAATAAGAATTGTTTATCGAATAAGGCCCTTTATGCACTTTGCTTGCAAAGAAGGAATGGGGGATTTTCTGTGATAAGCATTGCAGCGTAAGTGTGATTTTGTGCATGGCTGCACATTTCGGCTGGTTTCTCAGGTATGATAAATCCGGTTTTAAAAGCACTTTATTACAAACAGTTCTTCATTCTTACGGGGCTGGATATTTCCCAGCAGTAAAAGTCACATAGCATGAAACTGTTACAGGGGCTTCAGAAGGTTACATGGTGAGGGACAAATGAATAAAGAACACTGAGTATTGATTCATTCAAATCGATATGTTTGTCCTAGCTAATCCTTTCCAATGAATATTTGATGGAAGTCTTAATCAGATAAATAATTATGACCTTATAGAACAATATAACAACATATGGAGCAGAAAAAAATTATCCTAGGTATTCCATAACAGCTACTCTGGAATTTCTTTTGTTCCCATGTAAGGCTTGAGGCAAGGGTGCTAGAATACAGCTGTAAATTAATGATAGTACAGCAAACTGCCATAGGGAAGACTTCACTCACGCATGGGATTAAGATATCTATCTTTAAAGACATGTGTCTTCCAAATATAATAGTGTGTCCATGTGCTGTCTCAAGACCAGATCCTTAGTGATCACAACATGCACAAAATAGTCATACGGTATATTCTAATAATTCTAATAATATGGACATTCAGGTGAAAATGTATACTTTTTTTAAATGAATGGAAGGTTGTAAATAATGTGTAAAATAGCTCAGTTATAATCATGTCTAATATTCATTGCAGAGGTTTTTTTAAACAAAAAATGACCAGTAGTATCCAAACAAGAAAAAATAAAGACACACACAAAATAACAGCACATGGGTATGAAGAGTTTACAGGCAAAAAGACAGCAATGACTACATCGTGAATACGATGAAAATGACAATGCGCATCAAAGCAAAAAATGTAGGCCAAAAAATTCACATAAGCATGATACATTACATAGGCGTGTAGACAGGCCATACCGAGCTCTACAGAGAATAGGACAAATCCTTCAACCCAACCCACCTGCCTCAGCTGTATCTTGGATATCAACTCATCTAGTCCATATAGCTTCAAATTTATAGGGACACCCACTAGCCTTATCGGTAATGCTAAAGATGTTTAGTGAATGAATGAAATCTGGATTTTAAAAAACACAGGACACTGAATTTGGGATGAAATTAAAAATGTGATGAATATCTACCAAAATGATCATTAGAGACAGTGGGGTCCCTAGCCTTTTGGCTTGTGGTTGCGGTTGGAGGGGGGATGCTG